CCCCAAAACCCCAAAACCCCAAAACCCCAAAACCCCAAGGGGTAGAGAGAAGGTTGAAATTATAGAAATTACAGTTTAGTGACGGGGGATTTCTAGTAGAAACCATTGTATCTTCGAGAGTTGGATCTATAGTTATTTCTGTAATAGCCTCGGTTGCTATAACGTCTGTTGTTGTACCATCTGTTATTATAGCTTCTGTTGTAATGGCGTCTGTTGTAATATCCATCATCGTAATATTCATCATCATAATATTCATCGTCGTAATATTCGTCATAGTCATAATTTGATTGATAATAATGCCTTCTTCGTTTTCTTTTCCTTCTCTTATTTCTTCTAGGTTCATAATATGATGTTGAAATATATCTATTTCATTTTCATACAAGGTTGGTAGAGCTTATATCTTGAATCCTTTGCGTTCAACAATTAACCCTTTTTCGTTGGCATCTTTATTTATCTTCAATAGAGGTTTTTACTGGAGCTGATCAATAAAGGTTAGAACCAGAACACTCGTTAATTTCTCAAGAGTTAAAGACAATCAATTTATTCTCATTTATGTTCATCTTAATACAAGCATCAAATTCAGCCTCTATCTTGCATTGACAGCTTTCCAAATTTCAAATTTCTATCCGAATAGTTTTAATATTCTGTATCTTGAAATAGCTATTAAGATCCTTTACTTTTGCATTTCAAACTTCGAAATATTGAGAATTTATTTTTATGAAATGTTTTGCAACTTCATTCCATATTTTCTTTTGTTTTCCAGAATTCTCTCCGATAAAATCAATCTTATGTTTTTGGTTATTTCCTACATCAAATTTCACCTTTGTAACTCTCAATTCCTGTTGTTTGAAAATCCCTTTCACAAAATTAGCAATTTCTTCATAAAGCTCACTTTCGAAAGTTGCTTTATCAAAACCCAGAGTTAGCATCTTCAAGTCTCTGATTTCATACTTCTCAGTTTCTTCTAATGCTTTCTTAAGTAACCCAACAGTTGTAGAGTCTGTAAACCTTACCTCAAGACATTTCTTGTCTCTTAATAGTTCTGCATTTATTCCGTTGTTGTTAAAGATTTCTATTATCTTTAAAGTATCTTTTGTAAATTTCTGATCAAGTGTCAATAACATTTTCTGTTTATCCTTCCAAAATTTGTTGGTCTGCTTTCAAAGAAGCATCAGTAGAAGCTTCCAATCATCGTAATATCCATGAAAGCATAATACCTCAAAGATAAATCCAGAGCATTGGAATATCTCAGGTATGGATTTGCTGTCCATTTTAAAAACTATTAATGTCATATGTAGTTTGATTTATATTTGCCTTGCTAAATTTACTTCCAATTATTCAACTTTGGATCCAATTTGTGGGGTTTTGGGGTTTTGGGGTTTTGGGGG